CCAAAAACACTGTCTAATGTTTTAAAAGCTTTTTCTTCAGATAAAGTTTTATACATTCCCAGTTGATTACATTTTCTATTTCAAAATTTGATTTTGCAACAGCTGTTCTGTTTAGTTAGCATCTTAATGTGTGAATTGTCTTGTGGATTCTTGTAGGAGTACAGCAGATGAGGATATCTGTTCTAATTCTGTAAGAAGACATTTAAAAGGAGTCTTTTTTTTTTTTTCTGAGTCTTTTTAACAATTGCAGATAATGAACTGTGTTGAAAATATAAATAATTTTTTAAATTCTGGGGGAAAAGTACAATAAATAATTTTGAAACTCTGGGAAAAAGCCCTACATTTGCACTTACATAATATTCCCTTTTCTTTAGACAGTTTCAGTCTCTGTGTCTGTCCTAACACTCAGCTGCATTGCTTTGGATCGATGGTATGCAATTTGTCATCCTTTGATGTTTAAAAGCACAGCCAAGCGAGCAAGGAACAGCATTATAATTATCTGGATTGTGTCCTGCATCATAATGATTCCTCAGGCTATTGTTATGGAGTGCAGCAGTGTGTTCCCAGGATTAGCCAACAAAACCACCTTGTTCACAGTGTGTGATGAGCACTGGGGAGGTGAGTCTGTCATTGACCATACAAGCTGAATTTGTACTGCTATAAGGTAATGAAAAAGTAATCCAAATATCAGGAGATGGTAATATGAATTCAAGTTGCATAAACATAACACAAAATGTTCTTGATTATGTAGGCTTTCCTAGAACTATAATTTTTCAAGTTTTGTGAAATTTCTGTGGATTTTTTTTGTGTTTTTGAGCCTTAAAGTACATTTTAAATGAAGTTTAAATGAATGAGGCTAACTAGTGTCTTGACCATGTTAATGCTCTCCAGAGGGTAGAAATGTTCCCACCCTTCAATGCTTATGCTTATATAATTCTGTGACTGATGTACATTGAAGGTTTACAAAGATTTCAGTACTTAGCCTTACGAAGTAACTATACAAGGACAGATTTTCTGTTTACCTGATATTTTGCTAATTTCTAGCATTTGACTATTGTTTATAGGTATCTCCTGGGAGTTCAATGCAAATTACGTGTCATTGCAGAATTTGCAGAGATGTCATCAATATGGGGTAGTGAGTTAATCTAAAATTTGAAATTAGTCATGGACAAAATAATTTAAATAACTTTGTGAAAGTGATCAGTTACAAATTAATCTATACAAGAAGTGTAACCCTGCATTTCCAGATTAACTTTAAATCTAACATGTTCGGTGTCTGACTGAAGCTGTAAGGATTGCCAGGGAGTAACTACTTCTATTTTGTCTTCATTCACAGCAAGTGGTGTGAGCCACCCACCCGAATGGTTGGGGCTCGACTCTGGTGGGCCTTGGCACACCTCCAGTGCTAACAGAGTGCATGAGTTACATGCTGTGACTCTGACACTGGATATAATGGCCATCAGTTATACCATTATTCACACACAGGAAAATAAAGCCAAGTTTGCAAAAACATATAACTAAAAGGTGCCTGTTTAATAGCCTTGAATCCGGCTGAAACACAATCAGATATTCTCCCAGAGCTGTCTCTGTAGAAGAAGATTCCAGACCTGTGAACAATTGTGATAAAATACAACTGGCTCACCTGTGTTTCATTATCATGATAAATTAGCTTAACTGCTAAGGGCTCTTCCATGTGTTATTCTGGAAGTTCCTTTCCTGCTAACGGCTTTCACAGAGCCACCAGAGGATTAATGAGAAGACACTGGGTATCACATTCCCTGCTCTTTATCTCCTTCATCCCAGTCAGTCTTCTGGGACAAGGCAAGGGGGCAGAGGTGGCCACTAGCTCACTGCTACTCATCGCAGACGAAGGTGTGCCCTGAGTCTGTAGCTGAGAGGAAGTCTCTGTTAAGCTGTATTATACTTCGTGTTTCATTGGAGAGAACAAATCTGCTCTTCTAGTGTTCTTCCTTCATCTGTGAAAAATTTTGTATCCCTTTCTGCTGCAGGATACTGCAGTAGTTATGTGACTACTTTCTTTCACAGCATTCATTCCAAGTACAATTTTTGTCCACTCATTTTGGCACAGAAGCAATCATTCATGCCTTTATCACTTCAGAGTTAACTCTGCAGCAAAGATTCTTTTAATCTCAGCCTAGGAAATGATGTGCTTAATTAATTAGGAAGGCAAGAGAGCATTTCATCAGGAAATGTAATCTCAGAATTTCCAGATCTGCATTGGCCACTTTTTGATTCTTATTGGGAAAGTGCTGCTTTTGAGCTGTAGTAGGTTTAGAACTATTTTAAAGAGTGCCTCTTGTTCAGTTGTGCTGAAGTAGTTGCAGCCTGAGGTGAAGCACCCATTATACAAAAAAAAAAAACCAACAATAAACAACCAACTCAAACTGCCATGTGCTTGCAAGACTCTACTCCTATGTATTTGTCTAAATTTAAGTCTACTGGTCTTCAGGTTATGATGTGAGCCTTCACTTGGATGTTTGGAGAGACAGAGGGGATTATAATAAAGGCAAGTACTCATGTACAGAATCAATTTTTTTTGTGTCTGGTTTCAGAAAAGGAGAACAAACACTCCAATTTATTAAAATGATTATTTATATTGAACATGAAAAGAATAATTTTATATTAAAAAGTTTTCTGAAATGGAAAAGTTTTCACTCCACTGAAAGATAACAATCCTATTTTTATCTTGCTGCTTTTTGAATGAAGAATTCTTCTAATGGCAATACACCATCATTGCACCAGTCTGCTGGTACATTTCAGATATCCTTAAAAATCTCCATGTTCTAATAGTAGCTTATCATAGTAACTTGAAGGAAGAATCTTTATATGCATTAAATTACAAGCAGATTTCTCAAAATCATGGAATTACACAGTAAAAGTAGAGTTAATAGTATTTTATCAATGAGGATTACATATATATACATCCCTTTCAGACTACAGACTATATAGTGTAATTAAAAAATAATTTCCATTCTGTTGAAAGTGTCTAAGGACTCTGAACTAGTTCAAAGCATCGAATATGCAGTTTTTCTACTGAAAAATAGGGTTTGAAATCACAAAGCCCCCCAGAAAGAAGAAAAAAAGAAAAGGGTAAGTGGTTTGAAATGAGTGGAGAGCTTTAAAGCTGGAAAAAGAAATAAAAAGCAAATATTTTTATAGAAAATAGATACATTTTTGTTGGATTTTGTTTTGCCTCTTTTGACTATGCAAATATAGAGGGTTAAAGAAAGAGCTATCTAGGAGGATGTTGAAGGAGAAAAAAATCAATGCTGCTAGAAATAACCCATATTTGCAAAGAGAAAGTAGAGATGTAGATGTTGCATACACTCAAAAGACCCTGAGAAAGTTATATAGGAGAGTCAATTTTGAGAAAGGGATTGTATTTTGGATGTTTATTGCTTTGTTTAGAACTGTATACAATTAATGCTGTCTAAAATTACAGTACATCTGATAAAATCTTTGCAGAATATGATGTACACCATATGTTCTGAAGATGTTAAACTGTGAATGTTAAAGACTGGGACTGCAAAAAGAGGATGCTTAGTAACACTTTCCAACACTTTCCACTTTGGAAGTCTGTTGTAATTCTGGGACCCCAGGGCCATTGAAGCATGAGGTGCTACGGAAGAGTAACTGGAAGCTGTGTCCAGGAAGATGTCAGAGATGCCAAAGCAGGAGACAACACTGTACCCTACACAGACACAGGACCAGCTGCTGGAGACCATAAAAGTCTGATGAGTGTCTGGAGGGAAGGTCTGATGAGTACTGTGACACTTGGGCTCCTCAACGGTGAACAAATAGTCGCCACCCTGACTAATGAGATTTGAGTGTGCTGTTGGGAAGCTGCCAGTGACTGCAAATGGAGCAATAGTTCAGCCTAAAACAGGGCTCAATTTCTTTATAATTGCTTCTGGCATTCCTGAATGTAAAATTCATTGCCAATTCTAGGCTGAGGGTTTTTCATCTTGAGTACTGTCTAATAACAATATTTTATTTGGGAATGCAGAAGGATCCAACATGTGACCCATGCAGGCTCACTTAAGGAGCCAGAGTTGGCAACAGCTCTATAATAGTCTGTAATTGCCATGCTGAATTTGATGATAAAAGGGTCAAAATAAAAGAAATATATATTAAAATGAGTTCACCATGTGTCCAAGTCAGTTAAGTACATTGTCTTAGAGCTGTTCAAGAAGAGAGTATTAGCCAAAGTGCATTAGCCAAGCCCTTTACAAAGGTTAAAAAGAATATGGAGATAATTCTTTCCCAAAACGGCATTGCTGAATGGAAACAAAGGGAAGACTTTGTGTTCCTTTTCCTTAGACTATTCATACAATACTGCAAAACCACATTGTTTTAATTCTGGAAAACAGCTGGAAATTGCAGTACAAGAAGCTTTACATATCCTGTTTATCAAACTGTTCAGAATTTAATTAAAAACTCGTAGGATATTTTAATGTAGAAGGAAGTCTTAATATTTCTAATATTCAAATTAGGCTGAGTGTTATTGTAAATTGATAACTCAAGCACAATATATTAGGTTTCAAGATAGAGTTTTAGTATTAGCTAACCCTAAGTACTCTGACATAGGAATTTAGCTTGGAAGCACTGCATTATGTAGTGGATTTTTTCGTGCTATGGGCACCCACTCCCTAACATCCCTAATTATCAAGCTTTATTTGAAAAATATACACTTTTAGTTGCATTGCTCCTCTATGTTGGTAACTCCAGAACTCACATCTTCCTGAGAGTAGGGAACCTGAAAACTCTACTGATGCTCAACAAACTTAGTCTTGTTTCTCCCTATTCTTAAGGAAACTGTCAGGAGTACTAATTTTGTTAAGCACTATGGCTAAAGGGGCTATTTCATATGAAAACATTTTGAGTGTTTATTTCAATTTTATTAAATATGCTTATGTATACATTATGTATTTACACAAATATAGCAAAATTTTGGCAAAAATCCAGAAGCCATATTTTCAATCTACCAGTTTCAGGCTGGGACTGGAAGACCATGTGGAGAGGGGAGCTTTAGAAAAATTTAAGATGTGTTTAATAACCACTGCAGTAGACAAATGAAAACTTGTTTTAACATACTGATCCTTTATTGGGTGGGGTAATTGCAGTGTATGAATGCTGATCCTAATCTAGTCCAACCCCTATGACCACCTGTTTATGTTTTATTATCTCTTTTCAATAGACTAGCAGCAAGAGAGATTAAAGTCCTTGCTTTATTCTTAAAGAGGTGGTTACCCCAGCTAAGAACAATCTCCCCCTGTCCTGAAGTCCATTATGTTACCACAGAAGGCAAGGACACTTTTCTCCTCTTCTGCTTGGCAGTAAGAGTTTCAGCCATCCCAGTCAGGCAGGACCACAAACTGATTGATGTTTGTATTCAAGGAGCCTGGAACTCACTTGATAAATGAATAGTATCCTTAGCCAGCCCTCCTCCTTCTTGCTGCTGTGATTGTCAAACTGCTTTAAAGCTTTTCTTTGGCTTGAGAAGCTAAGCAGAGTCATGTTTCTTAGGGAAAATTTCTGCAAAAGGCTTTTCCCAGGGTGGAGGAGGGACAGGTTTCCTTTGATGTTTAGCAGCTGGCACTTTCCAGGTGGCTAAACTTCAAAGGCAAGTGTTAGGATCTTCCTCCAACCTGGTCCTCAGTTCTTTGTAGATAGCTAGGCTCATTTAATGTTTTACTTTACTTGGAATGCTAAATTGGAAGTCATAAACTCCAGATGGCCTTTTAAATATGTACTGTCCTTCTACCTGAAAGGGGCCCAGCTGCCGGCAGAGCACTGATGAGGCAGGTGGCACCTCCTCCTGAGCAGAAAGAATGTACTTTCAATTCTGACCCCCTGTGATCCCAGTAAGTCACGTTACTCCAGCGTCTCCTTAATCTCTCCACCTGTGAAACATGGATGTCAGTCCTTCCCTGGGTAGCAGGACTGCTGTGAGGCTGCATTTTCTGGAATGCAAAAGCAAGTTTGAGATCATCAATCACATATATTCTCAGGTTAATGCCAATTATAAAAAACCTGCCCCAAATGGTCTGGCTCACCCAGGGACATTGACAAGCATTAGTAGCTGCAGCTGCTAGTTAGGAGCTGGTAAGCTGGTTTGCTACAGGATCTTAGGGCAAGTAAGAAGTCAAATACTACTCATCTGAATTTTTTGAGCCCTGATCTATCAAAGCTATAAAATGTCATTACCTTTTCTGGGAATGTACATTGGCTGGATTTTGCTGTAGCAGGTTTTCATCTCCTTGATACTGGAGGTTTTCTGGGTGTACCAGCAGGCACTGTCAGGTCCAACAGCAAGTGTGATATTACTCAAGTCTGAATTTGAGAGTGAGCCTGGAATTTACATTATGGTGTTCTCCTCCCTGCTATGAGAGTTGTGGGGCAAGTCTTTGTATATCTTTGTCTGAACAAGCTCTGAAATTCTTCTGGCATGCTCTTTTTTGATAGGGTCCACAGTCTCAGTCACTTTAACAGGCAGAAAATAATTTTGATGCACCAAAGTTTTGATCTCATGCAACTCTTTTTGTTTCCTTTTTTTTCCCCCTCCTTTTAATCTTTTTCTTTTTTTTTTTTTTTTTTTAATTAAAAAAGCAATCAGGTCTTGCAGGTCTTATCATCCTGAAACATTTGGAAATTCTAGAAATTAACATAAATTTTCCTTCTTTATCCAAGATGTAATGCTTAAGATTACCTTGCAATTTAACTGTTCATGGGGTGCAGTTTCTCTTCTGCTATGTGTTGTTACTGTCCAAAATATTCATTCCTTTTCTGTGGCCATCCACAGATGTTAAGTAGTAATTAATACCAACAATTGGTAATAGCAAACTGCAATTAATGCTACAAAAGAGAAGACAAGCTTTCAGGCACTGCACATTCTGGTATAAATTACTGATGGAGTTTAAGATGCAACAGTGTTAAAACTCAATACACTCAACAGCACTTCTATGATGTTTTGTCTAAGCAAATAACATTCATAAGTTGTCTTTTGAAAAGAGATACATGGAAAAATAGAACATAACACTACCAAACTCATTATTGTTAAATGGGACTTTAAAACCATCTTGGAGATTTCCTAGGTTTAAAGCACTTGAATGCATTGATTCTATTTTTAAAATTTAATAATAATAATTAATTACTGCATCTTAATCGGATATATTCTGCCACCACCAAGTGATTTATGAAATGTGTGTCTCTCGTCCCATCATTGTGCTGTGCGCTGTAATTTGCAGTTGCAGTCTTTGTAGGTGAGGGATTGAGCAGTTTACTCAGGCATACATGGTAGCCTTTGCAGAATTAAAACTAATGACACACAACCTTTCAATATGTCAAGGATGAGGTAGGTTGGCTGATTACTTATGTTTTTTAGACAGCAAAATTTTTCATTTACAGATAACATTTCATTTTTAGATAAAAAAATTAATCCATCACTGTTTTAACAGAAAGTAAAACTTCTTAAGACTCCATATGTAAAGTAGTAATATGGTAAGAAATCAAAAAAGTGGTATAGGAGATCCTTGGGATAAAAAGTACATTTCTAGTAGAATGTATCTAGAAGTCATTAAAAAACCAATCTTGACCATAATATTATTTGATACACTTTCCTGTTATATTGAAAAATATGCATATGCATATTAATAATTTTTCTTAAGGTGATTTTGAAATGTACATATATTTAAACACACCTTTCCTATTTGAATTCTCTTTCCAGCTGAGGTTTACCCCAAAATGTATCACACATGCTTTTTTCTGGTGACCTACATGGCACCACTGTGTCTTATGGTGTTGGCCTATTTGCAAATATTCCGAAAGCTGTGGTGTCGCCAGGTAAGTCACTTAGACTGGCTCTGTTTACTTGCTCTTGCAACTTTGTGCAGATTCCCATGTACAGCCTCTTCCTTTATAAACTCCATTTTTTCACTTAGGACTTTGATTTCTCATGTCTGTGAAGGGCTTTCTCTTAGCAAGAAAGAAAGCAAAAGGCAGCTGAAAAATTGATTCTAGGTAGAAGAAAAATCTCCCTCACTGTATCTGAAGTACTTACCGAAATACCTTGGATGAACTTATTTATAAGGTCATCTGCTAAAATCTCCTGTAGCAGTCAAAATTTAAGATTGACCTTCTCATTTTGTTAGTTTTATTTTTATTTTTCTTAGGTTGATGGCAGTCCAATCTGAACAAAATGTAAACTAGAAGGTCCAACTACCAGTATTGGGAGACTGGAACTGCCTGATGTGAAGCTGGCTGCTACCAATAACATTAGATGGGAATTGATGGCAAATAATTGACAAAATTTCTGATGTGAACACCTTTTTTTTTCAAGATTCAAATAAAAAATACAGGGAAAAAAGCCAAGAATACTAAACAAAATAAACAAAAACTCACCAAGCAGACAAACAAAGAACATTTGAATTTAAGTGGTGAAATGATGCTGTTTTCTTGAGGAATCTTTAAAAAATCATTTTGTGTGTGTGAACTAATTTGTCATGCACCAGACTGTGGTGGGCTCTTATGTCTTTTGCTTAATCCAGGATTTATCTATAGCTGTAGCCCACCACTAGCTGCCCTGTCATTCTGAAATGGACAAAATAGTCATTCTGTTGAAGAAATAATGCAAGATATTCCATCTCAAGTGTCTCTAACATAGTTCATATTTCCATCGACATGTGAGATTGAATCATTTCTCTCTCACTAGTATGTTTGATACCACCTAATTTTGAGGCTGTCCTGGGCAGGGGATAATACCTGCCCCATCAGAAATATTTTTCATGCAGTTCATATTGATCCATCAGAGAAATCACAAATAGACTTTATATATCTGAATATGCATGTGATAAAATCTTATACTGACAGAATATATCTCTCACAAGTAACTCGTATATAGGAAATCCCAAATCCACTTTAAGGCTTTTTGTTATCATCCATAAGTCATATGTCACTTCAGATTACGTTAAACAAGAATTGCTGTTTATCCTGCTTGTCAGCTTTAAATTATTATTTTTGCTTTTAATTACTTAGGATGATAAGATTAAATAACAAGATGGCTTGGAGATAAAATTTAACCTTTACAGTTTAAGGGGACTCTTCTCCAGGGCAAAGGATTTCTTGCTTAGTTTTGTTATTCAGTCTAAACATAGTTCTAATATGCTCTGCCTTGCTGAAACTGTCCTGTATCACCCAATGACTTTATCACCATAATCCTTCTCAGCCTTCTCTTCTGTACCTTCTTTACAATCTGCCTGTCCCCTCAAGTTCTTAATTAAGTAAGTTAATGCAAAGCAATTGTTCTTAACCTACACATACTTGAAATTGCTGGCTCAGAAGCAGAGCAGAAGTTGAATGACTGAAAACCAACCTTTTCCTTTTGGCTTCTCCCTACCTCCACTCCCCAGTTGTTTTAGGTGGTCTATTTGTTCTTCAAAATGTTTCTTCTCCCCATTCAGCTTGCACACTGGCAAGGTGAGGATGATCCTTTGTTTTTCAGTAACAAAAAGAGAAATTCTACTACAGGCTTAGTGCTACCAGTGGTGCCAAATTACAGCTGTCTCTCTGCCTGGCATGGATGATAGCACTATGTGTAAGAGGCTGCACTAAGTGAAATTAAAACCAGTGCACATCTATTATCAAGTGTGACTTGGCTGCAGGCATCAGGCACTTTCCTAAGTGCAGCAGGTGTGCTGTAATCAGTCATGTAGCACAAATGAATGAAGTGCTCTAAATGTATTCTTTGGTAACAGTTTCAATAAAAAAACATGCTGTTTATCAGAAATTCAGTTAAATGTGTTGATCTTATTGCAAGGTACAATGAGCCTTTCAGATGTACATGATAGAAAAAATATAATAAATAGTAGATGCTTTCTATGCCCTACATTTTTTCTAAAGGTTATTTTTTAAAATGTAATGTGTTGTGCATACAAATATTCATATAAAAAATAGAAGACTGAATTACAAGTTATTGTTCCCATATTTTGTGTAATAGCTCTTAAAATTTCTAATTGCATAAATCAAGCAAATCCTTAAATTAATGATTCAACTTTATAAAGGCAAGTACAATCATGCAAAAATACTAGAAATTTTGAATAATAATTTTAATTATTAGCAAGGAATTAGTAATTTAGTAGTCTATGTTCTTGTGTGGATTTTAAATAGATTAAAAACAGCTTCTGTACAAATAGAACTGAATGAACTGAATATTATGAAAATGTTGATACACAATTTGTAATATCAATTTCCTAGTATGCTTCAAGTTTCTGATGTTCGAATGCATTGACATTAAAGAACATTTGTAGTAATAATTAGGAAATTTATCCATTTTCTTTTTGGTAGCTGAAATATACCCTTCCAATATTTGTAAGCTGATGCTACAATTGAAAGATTTTCTTTGGTTATAAGCCCCTTGATAATTGTTAGGGGGTAGAGAAAAGGTGCATAAGAAAGTAAAACTCTAAATTTTAGTACTTGTTTATTCACAGCTAATAGGCTTTCCGTGAAATTTTGGAATTAAACAAATGCTTCAAAATTATCTGACTGATTAATTACCAACAAGAAAATATGTGCATTATGCTCCCATGTGTACAATTGTATATACTTGTATATACATAATCATAGAATTATAGAAACATTTATATTAAAAAGGCTCCTAAGATAATTTAACTCAACCATAACAACCATAACACTGCCAAGTCCACCACTAAACCATGTCCCTAAGTACCAGATCTACTTAATTTTTAAATATCTCCAGGATATTTAAACCACTTTCCTAGGCAGCCTGTTCCAAGGCTTGGCTACCCTACCGGTGAAGAATTTTTTCCTTCTATCAAATCTAAACTTCCTCTGGCTTAACTTGAGACCATTTCCTCTAATTCTGTCACTTCTCTGCTACACCCCACAGCCAAGTAGGGTAAACCCCTTGCAATAGTACTGATGTGCAATTGTCAAGCTAGTATTACTGATTTCAGCTGTGTGAGTGGGAATCCACAGTAGAAGCGCAAGGGGCTAAGTTGTTTTAAATCCATGGATACATTAGTAAAAACTAAATGGTATAACTTATTCCCAGTTTTGCTTCAGAAATTTCCTGCTCATTACATGGCAACTTTGCCAAAAATGTTCCAATAGTTGTAAATTATGTTTGGGGGTGTACATAAAAGCTGAACTAAGAGCTTGTCTGAAGATATTCACACACTCAAACACACACACTTACACACACACAAAATCACATCCCCCAGCCAACAAATAAATAATTAGAGCAAAACCACAAACCAACAAAAAGAACCCCCACCCAACCCCACAAAACCCCCCAAAACCTCAACATAGCTGGTTTTCTAGAGCTATTCTGAATGTGCATGCTTTTGAGTTTACTTTTATCTTTCTTAAATAAATACAAAAATATTCATCATTTTCTGGTCAGTTTGTCTGGATAAGCCCTATTAAAAACAAAAAGAAAAGTTACAATCAACAATGTGAACTTTTCAGATACTTTTGAACTTGAAATATTTCACAGGAGATTAGTCACCCTACACACAATTGTACTACACATAAATAAAACTGTATTTCTAGCCAAAAGGTTTTCACACTATATGACATTGAAAATATTATAAATGTAATTGTAATAGGGTTCTCTAAGAAAGTTCTTGACATCTGTAGTCTTTCACATTTCACTGCAGGCAGGAAGTAATTTAGAGGAACAGAAGGAAAATTGTTTTACTTGGCTTGTCTTATGTGAGGGCACTTTATTTTTTTTTTTAATAGCATGGTTCAACATGCAACTCACTGCAACATGTCTTTGACTAATGTAATTCTTCCTGTGTTTTGGCACTTTTCCATTATTTCCCTCAGTTTGGAAGAACTTTACGGAGAGATCCACACTTCAGCTGTGAATATTTCTTTAGCCACTTCACTGTCATCTAGGTTGCAAGTATGGAGGTTTTATGGCACTTAAAGCTATGCAGGCTTTAAATCCTTGTTTTCCAGTACTGAAAAACTGCTTAGTATCTTATATTAGCAGCATATTAATGGGAAAAACTACTCTGCTACACAACAAAACATTTAACATAGAACTTTATAGCAATGTAAGTGTAGCAATAGGGTTGGTAATTTTGATAGTCTGAAGACACAAGCAAAACAAGGTATGTGGGAAGTAAAGAAAATTTGAGGACATCAGTTGATATTTGTGTATAAAACAAAATTTTTTAGGCAGTCCCTCTAGTGTGTCTGAAATTCAGTTTGTTTCCTGCAGCTACATCAAATAATTTAATTTAAAAATCCTTTTAAACCTTGTGAACTTACATTGTGTATATCAAGGTGTCTAATTTTCTTTTTATATCTGCAGCTAAAATTTGTTTTAAAAAATGTTTTTCAAAATGCCCCTTATTTTGTCTGCCTTAGATCCCAGGAACTTCTTCTGTTGTTCAGAAGAAATGGAAGCCTCAGCAGACTTCAGCACAGCCCCGAGGGCTGGGACAATCAACAAAGTCAAAGATTAGTGCTGTGGCAGCTGAAATAAAACAGATTCGTGCAAGAAGGAAAACAGCACGTATGCTAATGGTTGTCCTTCTGGTTTTTGCACTTTGCTACCTACCAATTAGCATCCTCAATGTCTTGAAAAGGTAAAGTTTATCTCAAAATATAAATACTTGGTAAAGCTTTCTGTCTAAAACCAGAAATCTCTGTTACAAGATTCTTTTTATTCTGGCAGATACTTTTGAAGGATAAGCTTACTTATTGCATGATAAAGAACAGGAAAATAAGCATACAATTGCAAGAAAACATTATATATAACATATATATATATATATATCTATATATATTTATATATATATATATATATATATATATATATATATATATATATATATGTATATATATAACCTATTCACAGTACTTAAACTATGGCCAGATTATGAAACTCTTATTAACAAGATCTTCCTCATGAAAATGACCTAGCCTATCTCCTCATTAAACCTCATCATTTACATGGGATTACAGCTTGTTTGCTGTAAATGCCCCCGTGGAAGTGCAGTCACCTGAAGCACCAGCTGAAGGTTAGCAGCAGAGTGCAGCGTTGTGGCTTGGCTCCAAGGACTGTGAAATGCTGAGTTCAAACCTAAGCTACTCATGTACAGTTTTGAGATCTTAGACTAACCCTTCCATTGGTCCTATGAAGCTGTATTTTAATTTTTTATCTTTTTATCTCTGTGAATTTTGTATGTAATTGTGTACACTCTTGGTTTTTTTACAGTTCCTGAAAGACTAGGGCTTTGGTAAAGTTACACCTCATGAACCCTCTGGAATACCAATCAATAATAGCAGAAGATTTGAATATCCTAACAAAAACAAGCATGTTATTTGTGCTTGTTTAATTGGAGTGTAATTGGAACATTTTAGTTTCTAAGGGATAGTTTCAAGGTTTAAATACATTCCACTCAATTCTGGGCCTTCCCTAAGGCTTAATTTAAATACTTTTAATTCTCAAGTTCCTTTGTAAAAATGTAGAGAGAAAGCTATTTCCAGAAGATGGTGCAGGCCACCTGCAACCTGAAATAGAGGAAATACATAGGCTGTGTCAACAATAACAGAGTTGGCCCAGAGTTAGATTTTCATTTAAATGGCAGAAGTAATGTATAAAGAGTCTGGGAAATGCAGATCTCCCTGGAGGGCAGAAACTGCTATGGTAGCCTCAGGTTTGGGGCCAGTTCAATGCCTTTTCAATTCCAGAGATACTTGGAGAAAGGCCTAGAGAGTATGTTGGAGAGTGGGCCTAGAGCCAGGAAGCTCAATGACATGAGTACATCAAAAGCAACTTTTCCTGTCTTTCCTTGGCTTATCTGACACCAGATGATTTTAGTTACTTGGCAGAAAAGTTATGCATCTTTACCATAGTAAAGTCTCAGTTGTGCCAAACCACCAAGACAGGGGTCTGAGGGCTGGGGAGAGGATTTCTTTCTCTCAAGTAAGAGAACACTGCTGACTCAGCCTTTTTGTGGTACTGCAAATAGGTCATCAGAGATAAAATCAGGCTAGAAGTTGTAAAATCTTTTTAAATGAATTCTAATTTTGCCATCTTTCAGGTTTTCTTTTCTCTTTCTGTAGGGTTTTGGGGATGTTTAATCATGCTGATGACAGAGAAACTGTATACGCCTGGTTCACATTCTCACACTGGCTTGTATACGCAAACAGTGCAGCCAATCCTATTATTTATAACTTCCTCAGTGGTAAGTTACAGTTGTCTAGAATTCAAGTTTAATGTATAATTTGAATGTAATGAACCATAGCAAAAATTAATGACCGTGTAACTGCAGCTCAGCTTCTCCAGTGGGAGCTAGATCCTCTTCCTAGAAGAAGTTGCCTAAGTATCCCATTACCCTCAGGCTGTCTACCAATAAGTAACCTAGAGCGTGCCAGGGCCTGAATCCAAGTGCTAGAGTGTGACATTAATGTGGTAGAGAAGTTCCTGGCATGACTTTGCTCTGAAACAATTACCATTCCTCTAAACACTCCTGGATGCTCTCTGGCAGGTAGCACAGTCCAGGGCCTGTCCCCACCTGGCGTGTCATATTCAAGTATTGGCATTTGGAGGCTGTGAGTCTGTAATAGTACCTGCATGGCCAGACTGTGCCACGTAGGGTCAACTTCAAAGAAACAGCCAGGATGCTGTTTACTTACTAGTATAGATTTGTCTTAGTTTGTATTTGTGTCATTTGGCTTGGAGAGCAGAATCAGGACCTGACCTGGTAGTATTGCAGCTAAACACAGGGAGGCAAAACTCTATTGATCCTCACTACATATTGGCCCACAGCAGGTTGTTTTTTTTTTTTTTTTGTGGTGTGTAGTATGAGAATGATCTGAACGATTTCCTCTGAGCCCCAAAAGCATAGGACTGCCAAATATTGTGAATCTTGTTTTAAAATCTATTACTGATAAAATACAAATTAACCATGCTCTCTCATTTCACATATCAGTAAGGATTCAAGACTATATTTGCTCAATTATTTTTTGTTACATATGTAAAAAATCAGCAGACTATCATGAGATACTTTCATTAATCATTCTAGTTTGTTCTGTCTAGCCAAGAATAATTCAGTCTTCACATCACACCTCACATATCTTCTTAGAAAGGTTGTCTTTTTTCTGTCTTTCTCCCAGATGATTAAAGTGTGATTTTCTGCTTCTGCATTAGAAGAGCATCTGGGTGGTTCACATTAATTTTGCTTTAGATAACTCCTTTATATCCGAATCGATAAAGTTTGATGAAATGCGGTTTATAGTACAATTTTTTCATGAGTCATTTTTGTGGTTGACAGGGAAATTTAGAGAAGAATTTAAAGCAGCATTTTCCTGTTGCATCTTTGGCATTCGCAGCCACCATGACGAACGGTTCAACAGAGGTCGTGCCAGTACAGAGAGTCGGAAATCCTTGACCACCCAGATCAGCAATTTTGATAACGTTTCAAAACTTTCAGAACACGTTGTATTGACCAACATAAACACAATTCCATCAAATGGTACTGCATCTATTACCCACTGTTAGTATACTGGTCCCTATGCCTTTTGATCCCATAGAAGTAAATTCTAATTGTGCATCCATCAATATTGGGATCTGAGCACAAAGAGAGAAGGGTGTTTAAAATTAAGAACCGAATGTAAGAAAAATAAAATAAAATAAATATTTTATAGAATATGCCATAACTTTGATTATATAAGGAGGAAAGAAAATTTCATCACATTTATTTCAAAAGTCATGTTGCAGATAGGGAGGGAGTAAAGCAGTCATATTTTATACAAATATTTTCTTTGGATATCTACCTCTTTTAGACTCCAAAGTAAATAAAGAATACCTGAAAGTATGAAAATTATTTTCCCTATCATTGGACTCTGTTTATGAACTGCTGTATTCTACTCTCATTTAATTAGCTGAACTTGTGGTATATTTTATAAAAAATATTTTAATCAAAATTTGGTGTAGAGATTGAACTACTGTAATGTCCTTTACTATTTCAAATTATCTGGTTAGCATGCATTCTGGTGTGAGTTAGGCTGATCAAATAAGAAATTCATATTAATTTATTTTCCAAAGTTTTCTGTTCTTTTTCATGTTAGGTAGGATATTGCACATATTCAGGACCAGCTGGGAAGCCACTTTTCTGCTTAATGTAGAAGGAACAGGGTTTTTCACCTGAATTCAGTAGTATTGCCATTCCTTTATGTATGGCACAAGCAAAGTTACAAATATGAAACCCATATGACAAGTGGCTGTAATATTTTGCCCTATATTTCTCATTTATCATCATTCTCTTCTCTCTGACCTCTGCTCATGGCAGGGGAGCTAGACCAGATGGTCTTTAAACTTCTCTTCAAACCCAAATGATCGATGATTCCACGACTGACTTGTAAACAGGACACGGGTGCTCTGCTGGTCAGAGAGGCATCTGGATAAGGAATCACAGGGCAATTTACTAAGTAGTGCATATTAATAAGTAATAGAATACATGAAAATGTGGAAAAATAAAAAAAAAAAAATCAAGATTTATTCATCAGAAATGCCCTTAGTTTTCAGTCAAGAAGCTTTCACTTAAAATTTTCAAAGACAATTTGAAACATTCTCTGGAAGACCATTTTATTAATAGATTATCACCTGCATAGTGTTGAGAGAGAGATAGTCAGAGAGTCAGTTAGCCAGCCACCTGATACAAGCACTGAAATTATCTTAAAATCTTTATTTTATCTACAGATATTCCAGCTATGCGCAGCCCATTGAAGTCAGCAGAACTGCATCTCCACATACCTGGGATGAGCATAACTTCAAATATAGATGAAGCCATGAGGGTTTCTGCAGAAGACACTGTCAAACCAGAGAATGCAGAGTGGGATAAATTTGTCCCTAGCATAACTAAACTTACTTCAATGGAGTTACAGCAAGGATGATTTTGGCTCAATACACTACAACTGCCAGAGGGTGTCACATGCTTTTAGCTGTGATACAGACTACACCTGGACAAAGGGGGTCCTTCAAAATAACTGCCTATCCTCTTTCTTCTCAGTCTTACAGAAACCTACTTACCTCAGTATGAGCTAAAGAACAAGTCTTTACAATCCTTTTTAAAGATTGGACTATATCATACTTTGTAAATATTGTAGATATTTATTTTTATATATTTTAGATGCTGTGAAACATTCAAAAATATATCATATAAAGAAATCTAAGTATTTGAAAGAAGGCTCAAACATTTATTTATATCCTCTTTCTATACATGATTAGCACATGTACAATGAATGCTTATGCACTAGTGATATTCTGGCATTACTTTGCACTTCTTTTTCTGCAAATCCACTTGTACTAAGTTCTATGTTTATTATGGAACTTTCACTTCAGATTGATTTGGAGAGAGTCCGTGTTACTTTTCTAAGTACAGACCAGCTTCTAAGATGTGAATCCAAAGTGCTGAAAGTCACACGTGTTCATAAGATTACAATTAAACAGACTTTTTTTTCAGATTTGAGTGCCTAAAAAGTAACCATTTAAAGAAAACTTACATGATGCTCAAAGGTGCTATAGGCTCAAATTTCCTACTCAGGCCAATAGGAATAACAAGTGTCAGCACCTCTGAAGGACTGGACATTTTTACTTTGGTAGTCTGTAATGTGCAAGTGTTGCTCCAGAAGATCTCTGAAAATCTTTAAGAAACATTAGTTGTCTTTTGTTTTCATGACTGCTCTCTCAACTGTCAATACTAAAGATACAGTCATTTTACAAATCTATATATCTGTTTATGGGAAAATCTCTCTGGCCTGGAGCATCCTACTATGTATTGTATTTTTCTCCTTAAAGGATGAACATGGTGCATCAGTGGAGACTTAGTCTTCTAGAAGAATGTGGTCTATTGGTTAGAAAAAGGCTAATTATCAGAACCTGAGATACCATTTCCCTGTGACACTATTCTTGTGTTTCAGTACAGATTTTACAAAAGAATAAATAATGAGAGGGAGGACTTTTTCATTAAAAAGAATTTGGCATAGAAATAAGACAGTGTTATGTATTCAAATGTTTCTAGAAAGCCAATTATTAATCAACCAGGTGTTAGTTGATTATATTTTGTAAATATTTTTCTAGGTTTTTCCTTAACCTAATGTCATGCAATGTATTATCTATCATAATAGATAGATAATAACTATAGTTTTATGAAGTGCTCAATCACTTTATGCTTTAACCTTCCCCAGCAACTGTTTTACTTGACATAGTTGCAATTCCTCCTAGTTTACATTGGTGTTAAGTGAGAGAAAGGGATTTGCATTCATTTGTATATTAAAGTTTTCTATTTAAAGAGAAAAATGAGAATACTCTTTTTTTTTTAATTAATCAAGAATAAAGAAAAATCTCCAAATGGACAGAATGTTTAAATATCAAATAAAATAATGGAATTTAAATATTCCTATGTGTAAGCTTCATTTTTAAGTATAGCTATTATGTCAATGTTATTTTAAGAAATTATTTCGCTTTCTTTTTCTAAGAAAATAAAACCCAAATAACTATGGAAAGCACAGCAGGATTTATTTCATAGCTATTGTAATTCCTTTACTGTGAGAAGGCTATTTTTGCTTTTCAGCCATGGAAAATGCAGAATTATTAGAGAGTGTTGAACAAGATATATTTTTTTATATATAATTTGAAATGATTGAACAAACAGCTGCTGAATTAAAACATTACAGATATGGGAAAATGGAATTTTAAAAGTCCTCTAATTTTTTCTTTTTGTTTAGCTATAAGCAAATAAATAGTCAAAAAGTTAAAAACTAGAATAGCAACCCAGCTGCAAAATAATTATTAGTAATCATTTATTTGAGACAAAAAAAATATCTCAGTCCATGGTTGAAAAATATGTAATATGCCCAAATTTGGCAAAGCTATATTTTAATTTAAGAAAATATATTTTTAGCTTTTCTTTGAAGAAAGAGAAATATAGAAAGCAATGTTATTTAAGAAAACTTGAAGAGCATGACGGGAGTATGAGGGGATACTTTTCAAACATAGAAGGTCATGGGTCACAATGGAAAACCAGCTAAATTTTTATGTCTTGTCAAGTGTGTTGCCCAGATCCCTGTGAGATGAACAGAGATGAAAAGGGTATTCCTTTCCCAGTAGTCCTGACCTGGGCCAGCAAAGAACTAAAATATCGATGTTAGCAATGCTCATGGAAAAATCCTAATTCACTTCTTTCAAAAGTGGGGTGAATATCACCTGCTGACACAATTTGTATTATTTTTGCTGCTACCTTAATGCTGGGAGGATAAATTGTGTTAGCTGAGTTAGTTCTGAGGCAAGAACATCACTAAAGGTCAATGGCAGTTTTTGGAGGTGGTCTGTGTCATGTTAGGAAGGGAGGTTCTAGCTTTAAGTTTGTCTTTGTAAGAGAAAGCATATATTTGGTTCTCTTTTTTATCTTTTCTTATTTTCACCTAGATCTCCAGAATTAAAATGTTCCGACATTTCTAGGAATTTCTTTTAACCACGACTTTAACTTAGCAGTATTTTTTGTGTGGAGAAGATAAAATATGAGACATTCATTAGAAAATGATTCTGGGTTTTCTCTGGACAATTTCTATTGAGTAAACAGCATATCTTTCAGACAAAAATTATGCAATCAGATGTTATATTAGATTTGAAATTCTAAGGCTAGCAAGAGAGCATTAACTAGTTTTTGCCTTAGTGTTTATCAAGCTAAATATTGGTGAAATATGTTTATCAAGATAATTATCTGGTTATTTTTATGAAAATATCTCTCATTCAAAAATAAATATTTTTGAGAAACATATTCCTATGCTTTTATTTCTTTTGTTTTACAGAATTCAAGAAATATGTTTTTTAATTAAAATAATCACTGAGAGAAATAAACCCAATATTGAGCAATAGCCAGCAATGGAGATAGAAATAGCTGTGAGAAGAGAGAGTATAATGAATGAACATTTCTTATCCAGCATATATATACTGAATGTTACCTAAAATCTGAGTCTTAATTGGGTCTTGTTACCTCTAGCTGCTTTGTTATTCTAATATTTCCACTACTGAAATGGAGAGAAATGGAGAAATGGAGTTCTCATGCCATTGTTTCTGCTTGTCCACAGCAGCATTAAACATAGGGTTTAAATCACAGCATATTTGTTCCTGTAGATACAAGTTCTTGTGTCACCATCATTCTGGTGCTTTGTTGTCTTCCAACATATTTCACAGTCTTGAAGGTCTGATATCCTGACCTGTTTCTCCTTTACTGTTGTCACTGTAGTGATAAGCCTGTGCCTTGGAGTCACAATGAATGCAAGATAATATCTCCCTGCCTCCACCTCCAAAATGCTATGTTTTTCCTTTTCTGCTGGACTACATAGAGAGAACCATCTCATTCTTTGATATTAGCAAAATTGGTATGTGTTATTAACCTGGAGAATGTTTTATAGGATGGAGAATACACAAACATTACTTTAAGACCTACTGCTGCATATTGCAATGGCTCAAGGCAAAGGCAAATTTAGCTTTCCAACCTAGAATTTGTCTCACAGCTAAAATTATATTAATCTCTCAGGCTGTTCTTTCTACTTGACAATTAGGTTTTTCTGTGGCCATTGGATGTACTGGGTGAAGTAATATATTATTTATTGAACAATTAAAAAGCCACAAACAAATATTTAGCAATTTTGTCATTAAGAGTTTACAAAAATAATGCAGTTTAAGAAACTAGCTAAAAATCTGTGTAAAAGAGAAAAAAAAAGAGAAATTACATGCAAGATTGATTTTTCCTGAGCTAAGAAAAATAACAGAAATCTGGACTTGGGTCAAATTTTGCTTTGTCAGTAGGGACAGGATTTCAACCACTATATCTGTCCCTTTGGTAGATAAACTGGAAATATTATGGCATAATTTTGTTTAAGCAATTAAGGACCAAATACAGTTAAAAATTTGTGAAAACAAGATTTATGAGGACCATGGAGAAATCAGTAGGGATCTGTTGCTTCCTCCTCCTTCCACTGCAAAAGCAAAAAGCACACTGAGCCAGCAGGTGTATGATTGCATCCTTTATGGTTGACTGCTTCATTGTTAAGTACCAAGTCAGCTGCTGACTTGTATGGCAAACTGGATTTTGAGGTATTTCAGTGGAACACCTGAGATTACACTCATAGTCCAGTCTGGGACTAGACTATAGGTAAATTATTTGTTCCTCTCGTCTGCCATCCAACATATTCCAAAGGTCTTCTCTCTCCTTAACTGATCAAGATTTCATTCTACATCTGAGATGAAAACAAACAAATTAACTTCTAAAATAATGCATTGAAAAGTGCTTAGAGAGTGTGATAGGACATAGCAACAGGTGTTTTCCAAGGAGCTTATAGGCAGCAGCCAAAGTCCTGCTCTTTTAGTTTCTCTGGAGATCAAGAGAGAACTAAGTGTGGAGAGAGCACCAGATCCCGTGGAAGATGCCGAAGAACTCGTGCTTCTCATCTGGAGGCAGTCCGGCTCAGCGTTTGTGGCAGGAGAAGAAATGTAAGCAGAGAGTGTGACAGCGGCAGCCAAGGCCGCTCCCGGGGGTGGGAAGCTTCATTCCCTGCCCCTGGC